CTACTAATAACAATATATATAAGTATTGATATTAAAAATATTAAGGCTTATTTTAGGTATTTTACGCCCCTATCCAGAACAGGACAGTGGACAGAGTCAGAATCTGGAGGGAGAGAGAGCAGGAAAGGACATGCAGGAGAGGAACCACAGGCCACAGACACAAACCACCCCGCCCGCCCGGAGAACCACAGCCTCCACCAGGGCCGGCCCATGGCATAGGCAGTATAGGCAAATGCTAGGCGCGCCATCATCCATAGGGGGCGCCGCTGGCGCCCATATGAATGCGGCAGAAAACTTGAAGATAAGAAAAAGAAATAGAAGGAAAAATGTGTTTACATATCATTAAATATTATTTATCTTATAATTTCCATGCTATCCTTTAATAATGATAGAAAAGAAGCCATGAAAACACAACTATCACATTTTTAAAAAGGCTCTATTTTCTTGTCTCCTGCTTGACGGCTCATCACAACAAAGCTGCTCGTTACCTGCTCTTGTGGAGGAGGAGGGCAGGTGACTTATTAGAATTGAGTGACACTGACCATACTTAATATCAATTAACAATTAACAATTAATATCACGTTTTTAAATGACCATAATGTAAACAACAACAAAGCCCTCAGGAGCCCAGGGACGAAAAAGAAGAAGAGGAGAAAAAATGTGAAAAAGACACAGAGGTAACGTGCTGCACGGATCAATTATCTGTTGTAGTTAAGCTAGCTTGTTATGGATGGATGATAGTAACGTCTGTGTTTCCTAGCTCCAGTTAACATCAGTTATTTCCACTTTATTAGGTTAAGATTATTCATGTTAAGAAAATAACCACTTTAAGAAATACACTTCTTCTTTTGTTCTAATGTTGTTTGGGACACAAAACCTACTTTTATATTTATTGACATCTTTGTGTACTTCGTTAACTTTCACCCTACTCGATTAAAAATGTTTATTTTCCTCCTCCTGTTGTCATTAATAGTTTTAAGCTCTTGCCTTTAGAGTATTGATGTCTAAGAGCATAAATGCATTTTGTGCATGAAGCCTCTCTGAATAGATCTGTGTGCATGCTGTAGGTCTGGTTAGGAAAATATTTTTGGCTCACATGAAAAACTATGCTGAGGTTTCTGTTCTGCTCTGAAGAGGAAATAATATTTTGTGTTCACACTATATTATAAAATGCCCACCGTTTCACAAATGCTCATCTTCTCTCTCCAGATGCAATCAAAATATTTAAATCCATCCCTGGGCCGTCTGTGTCCACTTCTGCTCCCTGCACTGTTTGATATGTTTGTTCTATTACACTAGTTATTTGTATTAATTATAAAAATTATTAGAGTTATTACCATTTTATTCATGTTTATTTAAAGTATTTTTTATTTTTAAATAAATAATTAATGTTAAATATAAAACTGTATGCCAGTTTTCTTTAAGTGGATGAATATAATATATTAGTGGTCAAACTGTCTACAATTTAAGGGGCAACCGCTGAAATCTTTCCTAGGGCACCAAAATGGTTAGGGCCTGCTCTGGCCTCCACACATGCACACCAACAACACCTTTCATTCTAATATCTACTGAAAAACATAAATCATCAACCAGAATGAATAACTATGGGGCACCACCCTCCACCAGGGACCAAAAACATGCTAACGGTCAGTTTGGAGGAATGCAGATCAATTATTTTAAAGAAAACATCTCAACACAACTCTTCCAGCTCAAATGGTGCATGATCCTTAAAGTTTATAATTTTAGGTTAAAGGAGTCTGCTGGACTTCCTATAAACAGTAACAGTCGTGACAGAAACTTCAATATTTTGTATTGAATTTAAAATGACATCTCCTCTGACTTTCTAAAGTCTGCTCTTTGCCTTGAAGTATAAATGTGGAAGTAAGTTACCTGGCACAGAGAGAAGGAAGACGACAAATCCACTCGCTGCTGCTGTTAAACTCATAGCTGCTCCTCTCATCACATCCATGAGACACACTGGTGTGAGGTCGTCACATTAAACTTTCTTCTTCTTAAAATGAGGATGTGGTCTTTTAAGACACTTAAAAAAAATGTTATAGTTAACTTGTGTTAAACAAAAAAGACCACACTCGCCCTTCCTCTTTTTATGCATAAGTCAGAATAAGAGCAAGCCCTGACAGCTAAAAATATTTTCAGGACCTGGTATTTCAATGATATGTACGTATAATGATTTTAAAATGTGTGCTTTACAAATGTTTCATCAAGTAGACTGTGCTGTGTTTTATAAGTAAAAATAGAACAGGTGTGTGATGTCTGATTTGGGGACAATACCTCTGTTGCTGCATTCAGGTGCTGCTCGTGATCCAAGTTTACGAGTTGGGAAGTCGTTCTTCCGACTTCAGTGTGTTCGTGTGATTTCAGTTCAGAAAGTCTGAATGTTGTAACAACAGCACAAAACAGCGTTGATGCTACAAAGAAGAAGATCAGAGAAATGCTAGTTAGTTTAGTTTAGTTTAGAAACAGGGACAGCGTAAAAAAAACAACAACATTAGTCTAAGAAGAGAAGAGATGCTTTGTATCAGATTTAGCTAGCTTATTTCCATCTGTTGTCCCTGGGCATTTACTGTTATGAGTTATATTTGAGCTGATATATGATATATTTTGCCCCCCATGTCATAGAGATTCTGACGTCAAGTCGGAAGTCGGGCACCTAATTCTTTTCTGAGTTTCCGAGTTGTTGTTGTTGCGACTTGAGCAGGCGTTCATGTGCATTTTACAACTCGAAAACTTGTTTTTCCGATGTGTCCGACACCACATGAATGCACCATGTGACCCTACATGACAGGTATTTTGACGTGCACAAAGTCGTCTTATCTTGAGGGTAGATTCCTGGTTATCAATGTGATTGTTTTGAAACATTGGACAGTTATGGGCCTGTGTAATCCTTGTCAGTAATAGAGTGATATATCAGTTTTAAAGTTACATTAATCAACTTACTCCTTATTGTGAAACAGAGCTTTTTAACCCACAACCAGACATTCAGCCTGCATGGAACAACCTGTTGGGACGAACTGGGAAGGAAACAAGTTGAAAAGATTGGACCTGATGTGAAGGCTACAGCTGAGGGAAGAACCGGACTTAAGGGTCTTCAATGTTCATCAGTTAAAAGAGATCACAAAAGGAAACTAAAATAATAAGTTTTGTTTCTTTTAAAGATTTATTTTTGGGCTTTTTGTGCCATTAATTGGAGAGATAGGACAGTGAGTTGGAAATCAGGAAGAGAGAGAGTGGGGTATGACATGCGGGAATGGAGCCACAGGTGGGATTTGAACCTGGGCCGCCCGCTTGGAGGACCATAGCCTCCATACATGGGGCATGCGCACCAACCACTGCGCCACCAGCGCCCCCGTTAGTTTGTTTTAGTAAGACATACATCATCATACTAAGAAATTAAGGAGTTTTGTAAAGTGGGAAACATATGTTTACAATGCCAAACCTAAAATCAGAATAAAACACATAATGAAGTACAATAAGGCTTTGAGTCATGTACTTATCTCTCCTGAATGAAATCCAGCAGTCTTATTTTCAGCTCTCTTGTTGTCTGTAGGTTAGTTTTATTTCTTGTTAGGTAGATTAGAGGGAGGTGCAGAGAGCGACGACCCGTTTTTATTAAAGTCTTCTTCCAACTTGGCCTCTTGTTTTAGATACTTTCTGATGAGAAGGAGTCTACATGAGTGGAAACACAGTTTAAAGGAAACGCTTACTTAAAGATGAGATAAGAACTTAAAAATCTGCCCACTCAGCATGAAGATATCTCTCACAGGAAGAAGAAGGGTTTACCTCAGATGTTTGATGATAAAAGTGAAGGGTCTTTGTACGTCACAGTGAGACGAGTTTCCCTCCGATTAAAGTTCAAAAGTTCAGACGTATGTATCAGATGAAGGTCATGATTAACATCTTCCTATCAGGGTTTTAAGAAAGACATAACATAAATAAATAGTCACATTTCTCAGAAGATTTCACTCACAAATCTCTGATCCATCTTTCATTATTTTATTTTATTGTATTTAACCAGGAGGAGCATCCTGGCCAATCAGGCAGCAGCAGAGTCAACAAAGTTTCAGACAAACAAAGAGCAGCCGTATACAAAAATAACACAAAAAGCTACAAGAATACATTCAAAGACTTTTATTCATCAGTCTAAGAGCGTCTCTGTCGATGGTATTCAGAGGAGTTTTGTTTGTCAACAGGTAAGGCAGGCAGCTGATTGGGCCCCCAGGCCAGTAGGGGGCCTCCAAGGGCTGACAAACTTTAAACCACAGCAGTGGCTCAAAATGTACAAATTTTGCAACGACAGTAGGATACCTCCCTAAAGGGGGCCCCATCTGACAGCACTCCCTCTCCTTTGCAAACCAACCTTTGTCAGAACAGGAAAAATGTGAGTTAAAAAAAAGACAGGAAGCGTCGGGACATGATGATTGAAACGGGTTGGAGGGGCCCCCAATTAACTTTTTCCTAGGGCCCCAACAGACTCTAGATTCGCCACTGATGGTATTCTATAGAAAACGGAGGTCAATGTTTTTCCACGTTCCTGCTCTGACCTTCAACAGAACAAAAAGACGTTGTTTCTCTGAAACCAGAGGTCTGGTCTGCTTCTCTGTAGCCCTGTTCAGACTGCCGTTTCAAGCTGCGATATTAACGTCCCTGTGACGTTTTGTCTTCAACCTGAATGAGGCAGAGACATAATGGGGGGACCAAGTGAAACCCCTCTGAGCATGTGCTACATCATCATACAGGCGTACAGTCGATCATATTGTGTAATGTAAATAAGCAGACACAAGACCCCGAGCAGATGTGACCACCCGAGCAGATCTGGTACCTAGCATTAGCATGCTAATGGCGCACATCCCTACATACCACCCAGTCTAAGTCATGAAATACTTCCCGTGTGTGGTAGATTTGACAGATTGGAGGTAAAAAACGAGGCTGCTTTATGTTACATTTATCAGGCCGTTAAAATCATTACAAAGGTATAATCTTTAAGTAGCAGTTCATAAGACATGTGTTGTAAAATCAGAAGCGACCTGCATACATTCAAATATATGAAATCTAAAACAGAGTGTGAACACAGTGCCTGTCGAGGTCATCGGCTTTTGTTGACGGTGCTGTACAGAGCAGCTGGATCCTCTTCAGGTTCTTTACTTCTGGTTCTGAAGGGGAAAATTGATCAACATGAAGTTTAACTAAAAGAATTGAGTTACCAACACGTCCATTACAGGATTAAAGTACAAACACATCAGAGGAAGATAAGAGCGAAAACAGCTTTTATCTTATAGTGAGAGTTTAATGTTTTCTCAGCTGCTCACCTCATGGCGGTGCTGTTCCTGGTAAATTTGACGGCAGCGTACTCAGTGACGTCCTGCTGCTCCGTTCTCTGGGGGGCCGAGCTGGTCTGGTATTGCTGTACAGAGGCTCCTGGGTTTTAGAGAAGTGTATGCTGGCATACTGAAGGTCTTCCTGCTCCTCTGGTTGTCCCTGATTAGGTGAACAAAATCACTTTGAGCTGCATATTTACCATGTGGAGGTTTTTCATTTAAAAAGTGAATTCTAGCAGAGGACCGCAACCAAGATAGGAAAGGCCACAGCAACAGCACTTATGGTGATGATGTTATTAAAATACTTTGAGTGTTGGCACACAGTGTAGAAGGGGGGATTTAACCATTTTTATTTATGAACGCTAACAGTTAAACATAATTAGGGGCGTGGCTGAGTTGACTCCCAGGTGGGCGTGTTGTAGCCGTTTGTCAGGAGGCATAAGACCCGCCTCAGCTCCAGATTTTTGCTTGTTACTAGGTTCACTCAAAGACAGCATTTCCAATATGGCAACCACCATCAGTGAGCTTCAACATTTCACTTCAGAAACCAATGGGTGACATCACTGAGACGATGTCCATGTTTTTATACAGGAGGAAAATTCAAAGACAGCCTCAGGAATTTGTTTCTATCGGACAAATATGAAATGTTCTTTCTCATCAGCAAGTATAAAACATGCTTCATGATCAGTGTTGGCTGGTGCTTTGTACTCCAGGGTGGGCATAAGTTCTCTAAGATGAACCGCGATCTTAGTTCTTTAGCTTGATGCTAACACATGCCGGAAAATGCCAGTAAGCTAATTAGCATTGCGGTAATTTAACGATACGATTTATTTTACTCGTACTTACAGGCATATGTTTCATAAACTCTGTGGAGACAAACTTTAAAAACTGCTGACTCATGCTAGTCTGGTCTGCTGCTCTGATCCATCTTAAAACATTCAATGCTCTGAACCAGTGACGCTGCATGACTCGCTCTTTAATTCTCAGTTCATGGGACATGTCCATCTGCTGCCCCCTTTTGGTGGTGTGTAATACGCTAATGAGCACATTTTTCCTGCGCTACCTGAGACTCCTATCTTTTGTCTTGAAGCGGAGTAAATATGTGCAAATTATAATGAGAGTCAATGGAGGCCCGGAGCGCTGGAGTCTAGCGCCCAAGTTAAGAGACACGTCTCCAATCAGTAACTTTGGACAGATTAAACATTTAACTCAATAACTACAAAACATTTCCTTTTAAAATTTTCATGTATGTACAGCCTTTATTTAAAACAAATTCTTCTTCTGGGGAGTGATTGGCGGTGCCCTAGCGCTCTCTAATGACCAGCAGCTACTGTTCATGATGTCTGCAGAAACTAACGCAATGATTGTGTACTTGTAGGATGATCAGCTCTGAGCAGTCGGCTGAGTGAATATTTGCTTGGTCAGATTATTGGACGGACCATATCGAGCACATTTACTCTTCTGGATGAACGACCTCTGAGTAACACAGCAGTCTGAATGAATCAGCGTTTATTTAGTACTAAGATATTAATCAGAACTATTCTCACCTGCTCCGTGTGTTCTTGTCTCTCTTCAGCCTCAGACGGTTCATTGGAACCCTCTTTTGTCTTGTGAGAAGAATTTAAAAGTATGATGAATTATGTTTTTTAGATATGACTGACTTTTAATGATTCAGTGAAACGAAGCAGCTCACCTGATCCACACGAGGACAGAGAGGAACACGATAACCAGGAGAACAACCGTGATTGTTCCAGCAACAGCCACTGATTTCCCTCCCCTGGAAATGGTGACCAAAAAAAGCGTTCAGATATATATTATCATCAGTCTGTCCTAAGCAGAAACCTCCACTGTTGAAAAATGAAGCAGATGTTGAAGGTAAAATCCTGCAGTTCTTCGAGTGTCCACTAGAGGCTGTCTGCAGGAGCACAGGAAGTCACATACACACCCATTCAAAGAAGACGGCCAAATTGTGAACATCGTCTTTTAAAAAAAACAAATATGTCTTTTTAGCTCATGTCTCAATCAGCACACACTGTACGGGGGGTGAAGGCATAGCTGACCTGATTGACAAGCAGGCGCCATATAAGGGTTTCTCAAGAGGTTTAAAGCCTCAGCTCCAGCTCTCAGCCTGTTATGTTGACTGAAAGTTAGGTGAGACAGCATTTCCAGCATGGAGACCGCCATCGATAGGACTCCAGCGCCCCCCAGGAACTGATTATTACAGTTTTAGTCGTACTAACACAATTTATCGACTATCTCTAACAGAAGAGCAACGTCATGTGTATTTTCCAATTGGAAGCTAATTCTCGATGTGTCCGACACCACATAAATGCAGAGTAGGAATGGAAAGTTCAGCAAACATTTGAGTGGCTAAAAAATGGAAAAAGTGGGGATGTTGGGTTTTTAGGTAGGTAGATACACTTTTTAAATAATAGGTGTTTTACTCACATTGACATTTATAGAGATGTGTTTGGATGTCCTTCTCCCAGCGTGTTCTCAGCTTCACAGTAATACTCTCCAGGGCCAGGAGTTGACTGAACTGAGGACGAGCTTGCTCCTGCATTTGAGGGATTAAGGTTTAGAGGTCCATTCTTGAACCAGGTATAATTAGCTGCTGGGTTAGCATCACTGCTACAGTTCAGAGTCACTGAACTGCCTCCACTATCTCAGCAGAGGACTCACTGACACAGAGGGAAGCTTTGGAGCATCTGGAGGAGGATAAAAGTCTATTTTAAACATAGAATGAACATGTAAATCTTTCAGAGTGAAAGTCCATGTCCTGTTAGAATCAGTATCTTTTATTTGACATTCTCTCAGTCTAAAGCTGTAGAGATGTGAACTTCTCTGAGTTAAAATCCTTTTTAAACAACATATCTTTGAAAGTGATAAATACTGATGATCCTCCTGCTACAGCCCTGATCTCTAACCATCCACGGTCTCAGCAGAGAGACTCACTGACACAGAGGGAAGCTTTCATGCTTCAAAAAGAGACGTAGTTTAATAAACTGACCTTTAAATGAAAACAGCATTAGTGAAAAGGTTCTGAAGATTTGAAAGTCATTAACAGACAGGATAATCAAGTGAGCAAACTATGAAACTACAGAGAATCAGGTCAGTAAGGAAAATCCAATGTTGAATGTTGCTGTTTAAAGTTTCACTCACATTTCACATCAATAGATATCCATTTATAGGTCGGCTTTCCCAGATCGTTCTCAGCTTTACATGAAACTCTCCAGAGTCAG